ATGTGCCCTGACTGGGAATCAAACCATGATCTCCTGATTCATAGGTCGATGGCCAACAGCTGAGCCACACCAGTCCGGCAATACAAATAGTTTTTTAAAAGATTTGAAACCCAGGCATGTGCCCTGACTGGGAATCAAACCATGATCTCCTGCTTCATAGGTCGATGGTCAACAGCTGAGCCACACCAGTCTGGGCAATACAAATAGTTTTTTTAAAGATTTGCAGGTGTGTGTGTGTGTGTGTGTGTGTGTGTGTGTGTGTGTGTGTGTTAACATCCCAGATGTACTAGGAGTCACAAACAGGACTGATTACTAAGCCCTTCCTTTTAATATGAGATGACTTTGAAAGAGGAGAAACCAACATAATCAGAGTCCAAAGCTATAGCTGTTAAATACCAAAACAGTCAAATAGACTGAAGCCTCTTTCAGCTGGTTGTTTTGCCTAAATCAAGGTTTTCCAACATGTGTTCTTCAAACATCTTCCTAGGATGCTAAAAGGATTCTATTTTGTTTCCATGTGGAAAGTCAAGTGAGAAAAAAAGTGGTAAAACTAGTTATGAGGCTCTTCACCAACTAAGGGACAGTGGGTGAAAGAGGGCTTTAACTCTTCAACAGTGTCCTAAAAAAGAACTACCAACTACTGTACATTTTCTTAATGTGTGACTTTGGCACTTGCGTGGTTTTGGCACTTGATTGTAAAAATGAATCAATATGATAAGCAGAGACTTTCAATGGTCTTTACTAAAAAAGGGGGCCCTGATTTTTTTTGGTAGATCATCAGGGACATTGAGTATGAACTGAGTATTAAATCATATTAAGAAAATATTTTAATTTTGTTTGGCATGATAATGACACTTTATGTAATAAATGCACCCTCCCCCCTTTTTTTAGAGATATACACTAAAATATTTAAGGCTAGAATAGCATGCTGCCTGGAATTTCTTTGAAAATATTTCAGCAAAAAACAAAAGAGGGAAAAAAAAAGTGAGCATAGAGGGAACAAGTAGATCAGAGTAATGATGTTTGTTGAAGGTTGGGGGATGAGTCTATAAATAATCACCACTTTTATTTACATTCAACAATTTTTATAACCCAAAGTAAAAAAAAGTTCTGTGGTCAAATAAGTTTGAGAAATTCTAACTTTAATAAAATAAAATAAGCACGTTTCTTTACCATAGACTTTCTCAGGACCTTTATATATTAGTGTGTATGTAAGTCTTTCATTTTTTTTTTCTTTGCAGGGCATCTCAAAAGACTGATATTTTCCCAAATATGCTAACATTCTTTAGAAATTCTGCCCTAAATTCTATTTAACAACCAGTTGAGATTGAATTCTCTGCAATGACTACTATTGGCTTCATGATCAGCGTGAATGGGTTACGCTTTTCTTCCCATCTCTCCATTGAGAATGGCAGAGGGCTGAGGTTCAGACCTTGGCACAGCCCCTTATTAGCTCTCTAATCTCAGGCAAGTCATTTAATCTCTGTGCCCTTCAGTTCCTTCATCTGTAAAATGGGGATAATCATACCTACCTCACAGGATTGCCATACAGAATAAATGAGATAAGGCCAGTAAAGCATTTTGTACTCTGCCTGGAACATGGTAAGTTCTCAACAAATCTGAGTTATTATTGTTATAATTCATCCTTTTAAGGCCAGCTTAGATTGTGCCCTCTCTGTGAAGTCTTCTGGATTTCCTTTATTCAGAATTAATTCCCTTTTCTTCTGTATTCTGGCAGTTTTTTAGACCTCTAATGTGTGATTAATTGTAAAAGCCTCGAGAGTAAGGACCATGGCTTATTCATTTCTATATTACATCGGCATTCTAACATAGGCCACTAAACCCAAAAGTGTGAAAACGGGGCTCATCCCAGCAAACTCAGCTTCCTTTAAGTTCTTGAAAGACCCACACAACAATAGCATTTACATATAATTGTTTAGCCACATCTAGCTGCAAGAGAGGCTGGGAAATGTAGTCTTCATTCCATGCTTCCCCTTAGTTAAGGCAATGCTCTATTTATCTATGTTTCTATCTAGTGTATGTATGTATGTATGTATGTTTGTATGTATGTATGTATGCATGTATGTATGTGGCTAGCTACCTAGCTATCCATCTATTCATCTATCTATCTACACGCCTGAGATCACGCCTAAGGGTCAAGTTTAGTTCTGCCAAGAGCCCGTTGCCTACTTTCTGGTGAGTGGAAAAGACCCTCCCTGATGTTAATATAGTGATTTTAGGATAAGAAAACAACAGCTTCCTGATGTTATAAATATCATTGGGTCTTTGTCACACTAGAGAAAAATGTTTGTATTGACATACTTAAATACTATTTAGGGGGAAAAAAGCCTTCAAATCAAGGAAAAAATAACATTAGTGTCTCTGTAGCAATAACGTCCCCACTGAGGCACAGCAAGCATACACACTGAGCATTTTGACAGGAAAATATGCAGATATTTTCTTTGGCAACAGCCATATTTCACAGTTATTACTTCCCAGGTCTAAGCTATATGCATACGCCTTCCAAAAGAACATGCAGGCAGCAAGAAGAAAATAAGAAACCCTGGATTTGATCAAAGTATACAAAACTCTCTGCCAATTCATAAGCATCTTTTCATTTGATTTTCCTGATGTGGTATGTGAGTGAAAATTCAGGTTAATCCCGCAATGGAGGACATGCAAATAACAGAGACCCGATCTGAATAAGCTTTAGGCAGACAAAGCTTTATTGAGTATATTTTTTTTCTAGTTGAAGTAGAAATGAGTTAATACAATCAAGAATGCACAACTCTTCAATTCTCATGGGCATAGCTAACTAATTCATGGAGAATAACAAGAAATTCACAGATGAACTAAAACCATCATATTGACCGTCAGAATTCATTTTCTTCTTTGATGGTTGCCAAACAAATAAAATGATGATTACTTATCTATTTTTCCCTTTGTCTGCCTTTCCTTTCTCACTTAGAACATTTTTTCTTATTGAACTTAATAAAAAAATTTAAGTATTTACTGTGTAATGTAAGAAACACATACTATAAGAAAGCACTGCTCTCACTGAGTTTAGTTTATAATTCAGTTGGTTTTATTTGTAGTTTTTGTTCATTTTTAACCCAAATGGCAGTGTATTGTATTAACTACTATGTGCCTTGGTTTTTTACTTATGTATCATGGGAAGGGCTCCAGGTTAGGAACTTTTTGGAATATTCTGACAATAGGAATATAAAGTAGCCCACATATAGGACTATGGAATTCAAAAGAATTGAGCTGCCTCCTTTTTTTTTAACAGCAACATAATATTCTACTGTATGAAAATACCATAATTTACTACACCAGTTCCTAAATGATACACATTAAATTTTTTGTTATTACAAATTATGCTGTAATAAATAACTGTACATTCTCTATTTCCCACCTGGGCAAATATGTTCCTGAAAGTTGAGCTGTTGGGTTGAATTGCAGAGAGCATGTGCTTTTGTGATTTTGATACCTATTGCAGTCAAATAACTCTTGCAAACTGTTCTCTTTTAAAGAAGATAATTTACATATTCCATAAACATTCATATATTTACTTTCATGTATTATAGTGTGTCCTCATCAAGAGAAACTATGACCAAATGTTGTGAATTTTACCCATTAGGAAGATAAAAAAGTCACCTCATATTTTAATTTGCATTTATTTTATTATGAATGAGGGCAAGTACTGTTCATATGTTGAAGCAAGTATTTAGGTCTATTTCTGGATTCTCTATTCTGCTCATTGGTCTGTCTTTTTCAGAATTAAGAAGGATGACTCTTTTTTTAAAATAACGATTTTTTAAATTATTTGATTTTATTTTTAAATCCTCACCCGAGGATATTTTTTTCCCATTGCTTTTTAGAGAGAATGGAAGGGGGAGGAAGAGACAGAAAGAAACACCGATGTGAGAGAGACACATCGATTGCTTGCCTCCCACATGCCCTTGACCAAGGCCAGGAATCTGCAACCTGGGTACATGCCCTAGACTGCCAGAATCAAACCCAGATCCTTCAATCCACAGACCAATGCTCTAACTACTGAGCAAAATCAGCTAGCGCAAAAAGGATGACTCTTAATTTAAAAAGAAGGTATCGCTCCCGGGTTTCGACACCAAAATAAAAGAAAAAGAAAAAAGAAGGTAGAAGGTATAACTGAGCTCTACCACTGACTAGCTAGCTTAAACGAATCCCTTAATATCTTTAATTGTTGCTTCTCCATCTGTACAAAGAGTTCTGGATTCGATGAGTTCATTTGCTCGATGCATGTTTGTTACATGTTAGGCTCTGCTGAGGATGCAAAAGGCATGTCTTCTCTGCTCTCCTGGCTGGCCAGTCACTTGGGAGAGGTCAGACACTATTCAAATCCTACACAGATCATTGATCATCCCTGGTGAAGGAAACTTAGAAGATGTGGGGCTCGAGGGAGCAGGGAGAGGGTCATAGAGACTTCCTTTTGAAAAAGAAAGTGACTTGGAAACTGAGATCTGG